AAATAAAATTTATACAATAAAAAATCAGTTAAAAAATATAATATTTCAAAATACTTAATAAATAAAATCAAATAAACACTTAATTAAAAATACTCTTATTTTCGAAGTACATGAAAGGATCTTTTATAATAGATAAAAATGAAACAGCAAGAAGCTATTAGTTATGTGCAATAGTAAATCATTATAACTGCTCTACTTACCATAGGTCCCCAAACTTTGAATGCAGTGTGTTAAATCTCATTACTTCGTACAACAACCACTCATTTAAATCATATTAATTTTCTACTAATAAGAACAAGTTACACCTGATTGTATTAGGATGTTGTATAAGGAACAAGTTATGTTATATAAAGGTTAAACCCTAGATAGTCTTCATATTTGTATAATTTCAATCTGTTCCTCTCGTTTTAAGTCATCTCAATTGGATCTTTAATTTTAAAAATACGTAATAAATAAGTCATTTACATTAAATGGACATAAAAATATCAATGGGTGTTGACGTGATACACAATATACATGATGACATGGACGATTTTATTATGTGGAATTTGGTTTTAACGTGAGTCATCAGGATCAATTTAATCAATTAAGCTTTGAATACAATCGATTAAAATTCGAGTAACTTAAGAAAAGAAAGGCCTTATATCTCAAGCCAAGAAGGAGGGGTGTTGAATTGGATTAACCCTTTTTGAAAATATTTTTGAAATCTTTATGCGTTATTGGCTTTTTGAAATCAATAAAAAAAAGAATAATGAATCAATAAGTAGAGTAGAAAAAGATCAACACACAAACAATCTATATTGTTTTGGCTAGTACAAGCCTACATCTAGTCCTCCTTCAACATCTTTAATTCAAGGGAATTAACTATAATGATTGAGTATACAAGAATATAGAGACAACCCTCTCAATGCACTCCTCTCACCACTCAAAATCAAAATAGCAACACAAAAGATGAACACTCTCAATCTCTTACAAATACAAAGAGCGACCCATTCTCTTAAACCTGACTATCCCCGCACAGGTACACAATATAGATTGTTTGAAGAACCTGATCTTGAACACACTCTTCAAAGTGTAGAATTAATAAGAAACAATTAGTCTAATTACCTTGAATGAATCCTTATAGTTTGATCACCAAGAATGCTTTGATTCCTCCAAGAACGTGTCTTTGAGAGCACCTGTACACAAACTCAAAAGATTTGTCAGTATTTGAAAATGTCAATGTTATAGAAACAGATCTCAAGTCACATATATATAGGATTTTCAAATCATGTTGTAGTATAATCGGTTATGTTATTTATGTAATATGTTATACTTTCTTTTCTGTTTTAACATATTATCTTATGTGTGTAATCGATTGTTTAAACACTTAAGCCTATTATTGTTTCATTGAACAGTCTTAACAAATTATGCTATCTATGTAATGGATTAGAGTATTCTTTCTGTTTTAATCGATTATCAAACTTATGTAATCGATTATTTCAACACTTAACCATATTAGTCATCCATTTGCCATCCTTAATATATTATCTCACTTATATAACAGATTATGGTTTTTTCTCTGTTTTAATCGGTTATGTACCCTACATAATCGATTATAACAGAGCAGTTTGCCCTTGTTAGCTTTCTAAGTGATCTGGCTAAATCTAACAAATTATATACTTTATTTAATCGATTATTTATACCAGAAATAAGATTTTTCATCTGTTTTAAACTTGAATCATTCAACATTATTGGATTCAATCATCTAGCATACACATGATAAAGATATAAACAATTATTATGTCATTTTGTTGTGCAATAAACCATTATTAATCTTTTAACCATTCATCATAAAAAAACAAAGATATAAAGAGACAAAACAACCCATATCAACAATCTTGAAAGTCCAAGCTGTTTTTCACTCTTCTTACTATTTGTCCAAATTGTGTAGGTGGATATCTATTAAAGGTACTCTGACACTCGAGTCAGTAATATGATTATTCAATTATAATAATAAAGTCTTAAATTCGTAATAAATGTAGTCATCTACCTCCTTACTTGAGACTCGTATTTATAGATTTTGAGATGAACTTATAATTAGCATAAGCTTAATCATGATCCAATAACCGATAAACATACTTTATCTCTAAATTTGATTATTAGTGCTATTGAAGCATTTGGGTGATCGGTTAACCAGTTTCTTGACCAACCAATTACAATGAGATGTTACATATTTTAGTAAGTCTTGACTAAACGATTGTACAATATATTTAATAATGTTAAAACATAATAGAACATATATTATAAATAATAACATGTAAAGCATCTAAAAATTTTGTTTGTGGCTCCAAACAAGGACCAATAATTTTGGTCTCAAGCGAAGAAGATTGATTACAAAGAGCTTAGGGTGCAAGACTATGTTATCAGAAATTATTGAGATAACAATAGGAAAATATAGTTGTCCAAGAATCATCATGAAAAAACAAAAACACCTTTATATTACGTAAGATAGGGGATTACTTGAGGATCAGCCGGTCATCACGTAGGATTACAAAAGTTTTTCGAAGGTGCAAGTTCTTTTATTGTTTGGATTTAATTGAATTGATTGCTGGTTAAGCCTATGATGGACGCATTAGAACTTGAAGTGATTCTTGCTCAGTAGATTTGTCTTGAACCAAAGTTATTTTTTTGTTGAAAATTGATTCAGTGAAATCTCATTGTCTTATGATACATGTGTTTATGCTCTTTGTGGGTTGTATAATGTAAGTATATGTTACTATGCGGGGGCATCTAATGTGCTTCACATCTTGGGTTAAGTGCATAACACATGTTCCACATGTCACATATTCTTTTACTTGATACATAATATATAACATGCTTCACGGAAAGTTAGTTATTATAAATAGACACCTTATGCAAAGCTTGATAAAGAAAACACAAAAATAAATTTAAACTACTATAAATTAAAATAAGAAATATAATATAATAATTTACAAAGTGTGTTAATAATAAACTATTACTCTTTCGTTACTAAAATATAATTAATTCTTTTATTAAGAGGGAGTGCACCAATGCAAAAGTATTTAACTTAAATTTATAATAAATTTTTATTCTTTATTTTTTATTTAGTGTAAAACATTTGTTTTTATTTATTTATATTTGTAAGCATAGTAATACATAAAAAATAAGAAGTGGAGTGAAGTTAAAGAATATTAATTTAAGAATTTCCCATTTGCAATTTGTTCAATTGCTGGTTTTCTCATATTTCATTGTTAGCTTTGTTGAGAGCATATGTTAAAAAGTAAGTTTTAAGTGAAGGATGGATCATCATGCAAGTAGAACTTCATTAGTGATAACAAAACCGCCGCTACAGTAGTATGACGTAATTACAAGGGTATTTTAGTCTTTCCGATGATTGTATGAAATGCATCTACAGAACATACCTATTTTTTACAAACATTTATAATACTTATAAATATTTACAAAAATATATATACTTTTTTCATGTTAAGAGAACAAAAGCTCCTAAACTACATGCTAAAATATAGAATAAAGCATTGATATATATGACAGTTTATGTCCTCCAAAGATTAATTCCTTTGAAAAGCTACAGTTTAAAAGGTCAAACTATACTCATGTCATTGTCTTCATATTCATATTAGGATACTCCAACTTTGAAGTAAATGTAGTTGCAGATTATTGAACAGTGAAGAAGTTTCACAAAATCTTGCTAACAACGCAAGTATTTTAACAGTAATTGGATCAATCAAATACAATCAATTAGCACCTCAAACAATGGACATAGCTTCCACCAATTCTATAATGTAGGCTCTAAAAACTTTATCAAGTGTCACTCACAAAGGCAAACAAAAACATGCCCTGGTGTTGGTGAAAGAAAATTGAATAAAGGAATTCAAACCCCAAGGTATGAATCCTTAAGCACAATCCAAAGGCACATTTCACTGGTTACACACTTATAATACAAGGAAAACTCAAATAATTACAGTTGAGAAAAATAATATTCAAGGTGAGACATTACGTTTCTAAAGGAGCTTTGTGATCAGGTCCAGCAAGAATAATCTGCATTACAAATATACCAACCAAAACCAAGAGGTTAAACAAGGTTTGAGAATGGATGATAAAATGCTTCAATTCTAAAAGATAGTCTCTGATTTTATTCCTCTAAATCATGATTCAATCCAAACCGATAAACACTACTTTTTTCTGGGTGCACTTTAGAGGGTAGAGTGTAAATGATAGCTGTTGATTGCAAAATTTGACATTGTTATTAAAATACATGCACATGTATAAAATACATGTTGAAAGATTTTCCAATCAAATATATTATTCCACACTCTAACATTTCTAAAGTGAAACCTAAACTTTAAAAGGGTCAAATCCATCCAGTATAAATCAAGTGAGTATAAATAGTTTAGGAAGACATACATTGCAGTCAAATGCAAATCTCCTTGCAAGCATGATGGCTGCATTCCGTTCTCTCTCTGACTCAAAAGCTAAAACAAAAGAAAGACCTTGCTTCGGTTGCCAGAACACTGCCTGTGCTGCAGCGTTTCCCCCTCCTCGAACTCCACAAAGCTGAAGAAAACAAAACAAGCATAATACATTAAAGTACAACAACAATCGTATTGGAAACTGTACTTCAAATCTAACTCAACCTCGTAAAACTGATTTGTATAATGAGATTTAGATCTACTCATATTATCATTTTGTCTTATCTGTAGTCAATATAAAATCTCCAACATATTTCATACAGAAATATAGCTAAATCGCTCAAGGTATAGACTGCCAGAACATCAGTATTCATCACATTGTTCTTGTTACTAAGACCAACAAGCTAGAGAATGATAAAATGCAAAAAAAAAAAAGGAAAAAAAAACTATTAGTTGTGTCTTGTCACCAAGAACTATATACAATTGAGCGTCCACGATTTGAATACCTGCATTGAACTAGAATAGTATTCTTTGGTAATTGTTGTCTTTCCTTTACAAAGTTTCATCCTCATCTTTCCAACATGGAGCACATGAATAGATTCAGTTGGATGGTCTGAGCCAGTCTGAGTTACAACCACCTGCAATGTGTCAATATTATTATTATTACAGTTAACAAAGTGCAAACAAACAACTATAGTTATTGACAATTCGACACTACTTTTAGTTGAAATTTGTTCAAGAACAACCATATATACTGGGTGAAAACTCTGCGCAACTTGACAATCACAACTGCACAACAGGCTTAGAACTTACGAGCATATTGAATTAAGATTTTAAGCTATTATCCGAACGCACATGCCTACTCAGTCCAATCACACCCATAGAAGGTTAAACTTAAAGTACTGATCCAAAAATTATAGATTTTTCAACAATAGCACCCTGCCAACCTAAGAGTTGCCTACTTTTTCCTTATGCTATCAAGAAATTCACTCCTGCAAAGGACTCCTTTGCAAGAATCACCCCACCCCACCTCGACAAAACGAACTCAACTAGTATCTGATTTTAATATCTTCAATTAGAAAAATCCCCAGATGATTGCCTCACATTTATGACACTGTACATAACAAAATGTACAAGAAAAATGGAATTTCAATTGTTGGTCAATCACCTGTTACAAGCACCAGAATGGAATGGATTGTCGTTTACTAAGGTTAGAAAAAAAAATAACTGTTAGTTAACAGGCCTGTCTATTTGGATTATGACTTGATAATGCCCCCCTTTATAAACTCTATTTCCCTCATCCAATCCAACAACTTAGAAGCACTCTATGTTGCACAATAACATGGTCAATGAGCTATATAATAGACATCACAAGGAACGAATGACAAGCTTATATAACATTGACAACTAAAATGATTAGCATACACAGATGCTTACATATGATACAATTAGCTAAGAAAAAGGAAATATATCAAGTTGAAAAGGACATAACGACATACATTGAATTCAGTATCATGCTTTCGCACAAGTGCCTCAACATAGGTTCCCAAACCAGCAGCTGAATAAGAATACGAAATAATTGAATAGTTTGATTGGGCAAAGAACCAAGTCCATTTGTAAATTAATAATACAAAACATTTAGTTCAAATATCAGAAAATACATAGAAATAATTCGTAAATCAATACTAAATCAAAAGAGTAGACTTGGTATGGGAACCAAAGCAAACCTGGATCAATTGGACCAGTGGTTGACAATGTAATCTCCTGGCCTTTTGAAATAATATCAACTAGCAATAAGCGTCCAACGTCAAAAGGCTCAGGGGCATAAACTGACTTGGTAGCTCCTGATAACAGAAAAGATATATTACATTATCGGCAAGACAGGACAGATGCTAGATATGAAATTTAATAACGATTAATATTCCACCACCATGCATCTTGAATGTAAACTTTATAGATTAAGCGCTTCCAACAGTTAAGTCTGGCTAACACAATGTATAATAGACAAAAAAAATATATTATTTTTCATTATAAATATATTACCCTACCTGTATTTTCTACACAAGGGAAATTAACCCTGGACCTAATTTTCATTACTTTCACATGTAACAACATGCAATCAATGTGAACGTCTCTACTAGGAAAAAATTTAACAACCAGTGAGAATTTTGCTTGGAAAAATGAAACTTATTGATAGACAAAACATGGCAATAACAGGTCGGCTAGATAGACAAAAGGTTAATGACAAAAATGGTGCCTTCAATGGAAAGCTGACATCTAAAAGAATGGAAGATATCAACAGGGGTATTGGTAATAATCTGAGGATGAAAGGAGATAGCGAATAGCACTTGACGGATTTGTTTACAATGAAGAGGGCAACTCAATGTGAGCCACGACACATACAGCAGCAAAAAAAACACAGAATTTCAGAAAAATACGAACTGAGACAGAGAGAGAAATCCAGAGACAAGAGAAGGGTCAATACACCACACTTTTCCCCTCTCCACTCACTTATATAATCCATTCCCCACATAGTCACCCCACTGTTTATTGGAAATCTTCTCTCACTCTTGTGTGTACCACTCCTCTGGTCCTGTGCCAAATATCCTTTTCCTCCAACTAACTCTGGTTGTTGCCTGTTTCTGATTAGTCCCTCACTTCTATCCGCTGTTTTTGTACTTGACTCCCTTAGAATTCTCCCTCCATTAAAAATAGCCTTGTCCTCAAGATTGAAATTGCGGCAATGCTTTGTATCACTACTACATTCTCCCAAGTTGCTGCCCACCGTATTGGTTGAAGTAATGGACCCTATTCATTGGTCAGCAGCAAGAATGGCATATAAGGTTGAGATGCATCTCCTTTAAATGGTTTCAGAACTGATACATGAAACACTGGGTGGATCAAAGCAGAGCTAGGTAAATTGAGTTTATAAGCCACAGCCCATTATCTCAAATGGTCCAAAACACCTCATTCCCAGCTTTTGGTTCTTCCTCAAGGCCAATGAATGCTGCCTGTATGGTTGCAGCTTAACCAAACTATATCACCCACTGCAAATTCGAAGTATCTTCTCTTCTTACCAGCTTGTATCTTCATATGTAACTGTACTCTCTCTAAATTTTTCTTCCAACAAAACATTTCTGTTGCAATAATTACTTAACTGAAGGAGTTGGCATGAGTAGTGGGGAGGTTGTTAGACGAGGGAGAATAATTTTATTATTTTAGTCTCATGAAACAGACGGAAGAGGGGTTCTGATCAGATTTTCTGTTAGAGGAGCTACGCTCCGAGCAAATGGAGGTTTCCTCCTTTTGTAGTTTCCTTTCTATTGCAAATAACATACAATTTTCCAGTGCCTTCATATGTTTGCTTCTCTTTTACCATTATAATACTGTTCTGTAACACTGTTATTATTAAGATATTGTTACATAGCTTCCAAACACTCTGGTATTGGTTGTATTTCAGGCATACAAGTTGTATACCTAACTGCAATCAGTTAGCTTAATAGAGAAGATAGTTTGTATGATTTGAACTCCGAAAAATATATTACAGTTTCAGATCAGAAACGTTTTCTCTCTCCCTCTTGAAGTGGTACACTGATTACTTTCACATTTTGTTGATCATATAATTGACTATTCCTCTTTTACTTAGAAGTTTGAAGATTTGTGTTCAGTTTATAGTTTACAAGGCTTCGTACCAGGAAGGTTGAATACTTAAGCAACCTGATATATAACACAAAATAAGAGAGTAATCGTGTGGACAGATGCTTTGAAGCTGAAATGTTTGACAGAAAACAGTTTCAGAAAGTAGCAAGTACATGAGAGTTTTTTGGGGAGAAAAAGTTAATTTTTCTTACTCTAAGGCTTTGTTCACTTGAATGGATTTGGAAGAGAGTGATTGAATGGATTTGAGAGGATTTGAAGGTAATTTTTTTGTTATTTATTTGAGTGGATTTGGAGGTAAGTGAGAGTGGATTTGGAAGTAAAGTTTGTGAAAATTAGTGTAGGATTTGATTGATGTGACAGATTAAAACAAATTACTTCCAAATCTACTCTCACTTACCTCTAAATCCACTCAAATAAACAACAAAAAAATTTACCTTCAAATTCATTCAATCACTCTCCCCCAAATCCATTCAAGTGAACAAAGTGTAAAGGAAAAAATGTGATAATAATCATAAGTTAAAAGGTAACCGTGCTAGTTGGGTGCATTACTTAGTAAGGTGAGACAGTATGAAGGATACATGTTGCCTTTAGAT